TTTCAACCAAATTTATTCTTCTACACGATAAATGTTGAAACTAAAAGCTCACACATTTAGATGTTAGAAAAGTATCAAACTACATAATTTACTAACTTGGTGTACGGAAATGTAACAACATATGTTACTTATTGGCTTGATCTCTTATAAAAGTCTCATCACTATTTTATTTTAAGGTATGAAAAATATTTTGCAAACTTAGGGGCACTCGAACTAACTCTTTCTCTTGCTTCAGTGATTGGTCACCTACGTCGTAATTTTTCCCCTAAATTAAATTCCCAAAGTTTATTAGAAAACTAAACAATTTCCGATGTCAATAATATTTATACTAAAAGACATTACTCCTCCCGTCCCATTTATATAGGCTTACTTTCCTTATTTTCTTATCCCAATTATATAGTCTTTTTTTTATTAAGAATGTTTTATTTTGTTTGTTTACTAATATACCGTTATTTCTTTACTATTTTTAATAATAATTTACTACTAGTTATTGATAATTAAGTGAGAGCATACTAAGAAAGTTTTTGACAAAAATTATTTTTTTTAATAATATTAAATAAGATTTCTTAATCTTTGTAAAAAACAAAACAAGCCTATATAAATGGGACGGATGGAGTATAACTTATATATTAGCTATATAATTGGTGCCATGTTATTTCAAGAACCCTACAAAGCAAAGAATATCCATTTAACCTAAAAGAATATTAGAGGAATAAATAATAATTAATGGAGATGGAAAGAAAACTCTATCTAGAGGTGAAACTGTGATTTGCCATTTGAAAAAAAAAAAGCATGTTTTATTGAGGAAAAAAAAAATGAAAAGGAAAAGGAAAATTGTCCATTAAGCTCAATGATATGCGGTCCATATCATTTGGTGAGAATCATTGGCTCCAAAAGAATGTACTTTTCCAAATATATTGGTTTCACTAAATTGTATGTCTTCCATTCTCACCTTTAGAAAGCAATTAAAGCAACCAGCACTATCCCATATATTTTGCTCCAAGACTTTTTAGGTATGTCCACACCAATTCTATATGTGTGTGTGT